ATCTCCCCAAGAGCAGGAGTTCCTCTGCCTGCCCTGTCTACACAGTGCAATCACCACACCCACACGCCTGGCAGAAGCACAATGGCCTGGCTGGCATGTTTTCTACCAGTACAAAATCTGCATGTTCAAGGTTTACAGCTTTTCATGCAGCTTAATTGACTGAACTACCTTACTGCTTTATTTTAAAAATAAATGCATTTTGTATGAAATTTTGAGGCAGGTAGGAGTGTTCTATCTTTATACATCAGTTTATATCACCATCAATATGCTATGGCAGTTCAGGAGTTGCCTATCAGTTCTCATCCATGGTGTTGGTTAACACCTGAGACATAACCATACAACCTGATCTGCAAAATCCTTTTTAATAGAGACATAAAAAACAAACCACATAAGCCAGCTGGCCAGATGGACTTATGAAGTCCAGGCTCAGCTCACAGTTCAAGCATCATGAACAAAAATGCTGTGAGGGCTGGAGCAGCTTTACCATGAGAACAAAAGAGAATAGGATTCTTCAGCCTGAAGAAAGCTCCAGGGAGATCTTAGAGCCCCTACCAGTGCCTAAAGGGGCTCAAAAAAAGAGCTGTAGAGGGACTCTGAACAAGGGCCTGGAATGACAGGACCAGGGGGAATGTCTTCCCACTGCCAGAGGTTAAGGTTAGGTGGGATAATGGGAAAAAAATCCTTGCTTGTGAGGGTGGTGAGGCCCTGGCACGGGTTGCTCAGGAAAGCTGGGGATGCCCGATCCCTGGAAGTGTTCAAGACCAGATTGGATGGGGCTCTGAGCAATGAGGTCYAGGGCAAGGTGTCCTGCCCATGGCAGGAGGTGGAACTGGATGATGYTGAAGGTTCCTTCCAAGCCTATTCTATGATTCTGATTCTATTATAAGTAACCTAGTAAAGTGAGATTGAAGAATCACACAGATTAAATGTTGAGCTAACCAATGCCAATACATTCACTACTAAACAGAGTAGCAGCAGAGCAGGCATCTCACAATTATTTAGGGAAAAAAAAGCTTTCATACTATTTAATAAAAAATTGTAAACCAATATTGCATTTTGATATTAAAATAATAGCAATCAAAAGAAGATTTGATTAAAGAACAGTTTTTGCCCCAGAAAATGTTTTTTCTCCTGGGATTAAGAACAGTTTGCCTGCAGACTGTTCACAGCTGCCCAGAGAGACCACCTCAATCAGATAATTTCACAGCAGACAGAGCACATGCAAACACTTCCAYTTGACAAAGGTCAAAATCCAGAAAGCAAGGAGACACATTCTCTCTGGCCATTTGCAAGGTGACAGAATGAGGCACAGATCTCAATCAAGTCCACTCTTCCAGCAACACCTTCTTATTCTTTCCATTCCTTATTCCTCACTTTCATGCAACCCTAATTCAGTCATGCTGCTCAACGTTTTAAAATAGCTTGAAGTAAAAATTCTCTCCTGAATCTTCCCACTTCAGTACTTGGACTACACAGATGATGCCTTGGCTTTTTACTCTGCTGACAGACAGACTGGGCGGGAGGAAAAAAAAAAACCAATCCAAAAAAACCCCTGATGATGCCTGGAGAGACCCTGTAGCTCTTCACATTTTGCTGCTTTCCACCAGAGACTACTAAGTTGTGGACAGACTCCTGCCAAGACTAGAGCAGCAGACTCCTGCTCAAGACACACATCAGCATTTTGGGCAGACATATGTTTATTATTAGCTGGGGTCACAGAAGTTGCTGGATGAGTAGCAAYGCTTCCCCAAGGAGGGAACACAGCATTGCCACTATCCATAAAAGTCTAAAATCCAACTGAATCCCAGCACCAAACGAGGTGGGAGCTACTTTTCTAGCTGCACACCATTCTTTTCAGAGTAGCATGAAAAAGAACGGTAATACCAGCTCTTCTGAAACAGGATTTGGAGCTAGCAAGGCAGTCAGCTCTTCAAGCAAATCCTATTGCCAAATATGCACATTTGGAGCAATATGGATTTGATGAATAATAAGCCAAGGAGTTCTGGGGCTGGGAAGGACACTGTGGTTTAAACCACGCTCATAAAGAAAACAAACACAAAGAAGCCATTAAAGAAGACACACAAGTTGAGAGATACGAAATCAGTTTTATTTTATAAAGACAGATGAGCTTTCCTGCAATTGCCAACATAGCTTTAATGTGTCATTTACTACGGGATATTCTGGTCTTGCTTATTTTTAATACCTGCTCAAGCAAGGATAAGTCAATGCTGTTGTGCTTGCTAKAAAAATATAGTGGGATCTGATCTTCCAAAACTAATATGCTCAAAAGTCTTAGTAATTTCAAATGAGGGGGAAAGATTGCAATGAAATGCTTTATCCATTTGAAGACAGTTGCAGGCATTTAAGAGTGTCACAGCTGTGCAGGAGCTGAAAGGCTCTTGAAAATTGAAAGCACACTGTGATTATCATCTCACCCTCAAACCTAGTTTGTTTCTCTTCCATTACACCATTTCCAAAGTAATTTACAGGGGGTGGAAAAAAAATAAACACCAAAAGGAGAAAGTTATGAGATGGCTGCAGTCTGTACAATCCTCACAGCCACGAGGAGYTGGTCAATGCTTCATTAGCCCTGTGATGCTGTCCCACCTCACACCACCTGCAACATGGAAAGTGGTAGAAGTGGAAGAGAAACACAGGGATAATTTAAGGCTAACTAAAGATACATCCATAGAGTGCCCATCTGAGCAGCTTTGTGCAACAGATGCAAAAATCAACTGAGATGTTTGACACATTAACAATTACAGGGCTTAAAGGGGAACAGCAACACAACATTGGGGAGAAGAACTAGACTTCATTTGGTTTGTGCAACTTGAGAAAATAAGCTACTAATGAAAAAAAAATTAAGTCCCACTGATGCTCTACAAACCTAATTTCACGTGTTGCTTAATTGTGCCAAGACGCTCCTTGTTCACCTGCAAAACACAGTGACTTCACTACTCTTTGGGTTGCTTTGAAAAGTCACCACCACACATAAGCTAGTGCCTCTATGTTATACATAAACAAGAACAAGAGTGTGTGTACAAACAGGTCTGTGCTGCCTCRAGTGTGCCAGATCCCATCCCACAGGGTGCAAAATTGACCCAAAGTTACTGAATTTCAGCTGAAATTACACTGGTATCAGAAGATGGTACAGGGCCTAGGACAGAATATCTTATGCTCATCACTACTAAGTGCTGTACTTTCAGGTGTCTATTTCTCCCTCTCTAGGCCAAAACAAAACAAGAGATTCCTACCTAATCCCCCCCAAACATGATGGCAGTGCTTCAAGCTGCTGCAGTGCTTCAAGATGCTTTAGCACTTTCTTTGATGAAGTCTTCATGAAGTTGGAACAGAGGAGCTAATTCAGGGGAAAAGATACTCATGGATATTCCAACTTTGCACCTGAAATCACGTTCAGTGTCTCAAAGAATCAAGGTCTCTGGTGCTCTCCTCTAGCACATCACCCTGGGACAGACCAAAGCCAACAAACTGCTGTAGAGAGGCTTGATCCAAACACTCAACTGCAGACACAATCGTTAAAAGCTAACAGAAGAAACGTGAATATATTTTAATACAATCATTAAGGCGTTGCCTGAAAAATGCATATTCTAAAATAGTGCTAGTAAACCTCTTCTCACATACACATCTTGTTTTGACAACAGAAAACTGAGATYATACATACCCACATTTTTAAAAATTTAATTTCGGCTAGCCTTATGGTAAATTTAGATTGCAGGCTAGATTGTGGGCTAACAAGAAAACATAAACCAGGGAAGGAAAAAATAGCCAGGCATGATGAAGTATTTTTATTCTGCTTTATATTTTYATATTTCAGAGCTCACAGCTGAGCCCAGATTCTTGGGTATACAATATAGAAATCAAGAGCAATGAAATCCAAACTGAAACAAATACCAGGAATCACAAAGCAGGCTGCAGACTGCTTTCCCATTAGTGCAGCTGAACACATGTGACAGTGGTAATCTACCCAACARCAAACTGCACCTCCAGCAGACTGCTGGAAGTTTCTTCCCTCAAAGTATCAATGGTTAAACAAAAATATGAACTCCAATGAATAATGTTAAATGCCTCCTTTTTACAGAGGGTGGAKGAATTCTACACATTCACCTAATTCCAAAGTGCTGTTTTCATTCCCAGTCTCAGTTTTCTGGAAGATGTCTGAAGTGTCTCAGGGTACACKATCCCCACTGCACACCTTGGAGGGTGACAGATGAACCCCATGCTGGTACTGGGTTCATTAAGTTTCTACTAAGGAGGTCTGTGCCCGACCTAAGTGGGAAATGGTCAGGCTGAGATTATTATACAGAACCTTAGAGGTGATTTTACTCCTCAAGGTTTCCAGTGATAGGAAACACAAGTATGGAGGAAAGGAGCAGTGGAAAAACCCCCAAATGTAATTTCTGATTAGCAAGAAAACTGCAGATATCACACATTCTCTGGCAAGTTCACACTGGCAACTGAAGACTCCTCAGTGCAAACTAGAACTTCAAAGGCTACAGAGCACAGCCAAGAAAAAGTTGACCAATTGTAACAAATTCATGGTATTTTTCTAATACAGACTACATTGCTCAAGCAAACACAGGAGTAGATGGGAGAAGGTAATAACATCTTACCATAAAAGTATTTTAAATTAAAGGTTTTTTTTTCTTCTGAAAAGTCTAAAACAAATTTAACTCTAAATAATAATTAAGAACTTAACAAACATTCATAGAAGGGGCTGATCAGCACTAGAAGATGTTTTCAGGAARAGCCTTTATAAATGGATTCCAATGCCAAAGAACAAAAAAACCCACAAAACATCCAACAATTGATAAATACCAGACATAAAAGGACTTGAAGCAGAATGAAAATTTACCTGGGCTGTGAATATACCACGATCCTGTGTTATTGCACGCTAGTCCATTTGTCTAACACCACAGGAACAGCTTTAGCTTTTTTATTTTTATAATTAATATAAAGAATAAGTGCAATTTTATTTCTATTTCAGATCACTAATTTCACCTCAATGTCTGCTACCAAATCCCTGTCTGAGATCACTTGTCCGAACTTTTACGTGGCCTGCGGAAGCTAGACATGTTCTCATTCAGTGCATAGATCCTTCGAGAGAACTCTTCAAACTCYCCTAGAACTTGTTCATCACACTCCACTGCCACAGCGTGCTCCACTGGGATGGAGTTAAAGTCTTCCAGGTGATCTCCTGCGCTGAACCCTGTTGCTTCCATACCCATGATCTCCTCTGCCTGCTCCACGGTGCAGCAAAGGACGGGGTTGAGCGGGGSCTGAAACTCACAGGGCTGTTCATTGCTCGTGGTGCCAGAGCCTTCGTCAGGCACAAATGCCCCGTTTATTGCACTAGAACGTCCCAGGAAAGATTCCTGCCGGTCTTGGGTATTGTTTAGGTTCCCGTTTTCTCCATTTAAACTACTGCACAAGTCCTGGCCTTTCTTGGTATTTCCTTTGGAGGACTCCATAGAGGTGTCCAAGGAAGAACATAGGGCGCCAGATTTTTTATCCAGCTCTCCAACACGAGCTGTGACAGCAACAGGCTGAGTTAAAGCAGAGTTGTAACTAGGAGGAGGAGTTTTGTACTGTAGTCTCTCATTTCCTGTGCTGGCTCKTTTTCGGAGTCCTTTATCTGGAGAAGGAAGTCCACTGGAAAAGCCAATATCCAATCTGCCGAAGCTCGAGCTCTGTCTCTTTGGAACAGGAATTGCACTGGATGTATGGTGTCGATCGCTATAAAAGAAGGAGAGGATAAATTACAGCTGTCAGGCATACTCATGAGCAATACAGATGTTTAGTCAAAGGCTGAAGCAATTATTTTATCACAACTCTGGGCTCCATTTGGCTAACAACTTGTATCCTAAAGTGTTAAAACCCCAAATCTGTTTAGTGCTGTATGAAGACATTCCAGAGAACAACTGTATGAAGACATTCCAGAGGACAGCTGTACTGAAAACCAGAGAGGTCGTGTGGGAACACTTACACAGCTCTATGGTTTGGAGAGTCAATCACCCAAGAAAACCATCACATTATGCTAATTCATACTGTTAACACCATTTTATTGGACCAAGTTGCACTTCATGCAACTATTACTAACTCATGCAATTACTACTAACCATTTGTGTATTTATGGTCTGTACTGGGCTATCATAAACTCTTCAAAAGTGATAATAATGGCTAAATTCTCCATGAGCAAAGAATCCAACAGTGGACTTCACTGACAGMTACACAAAGAAGAAAARCCACAACCAACTTCAYTATTTCCAGAAGGYTATTCTTGCCAGATCTCCTGCTTTTCTGTGCCAATCATTCCAAAACTTTTTGAACAAATGTCAACCGCTATTTCTTGAGGAACATGAACCAATCACGCTTAATTCACAAGTCTGATGTCACTGTTTAATACAGTTCCACAAACCACTTTCACTGTCTCAAGTTCTACAATTTGGAAAATCCACTTTACATCATCTGGGGTGTGTTATGAGAATTTTCTTTCATCGGCTTAATATTTTTTCAAATATAATCACCACCCTATATGCAAATAGTTATGCCAGACATTAGCATAAGGTTAATTTTCCTGTCAAATAAAAAAAAACCCGTAAAAAATCAGCTATTATTGATCTGCTAAACAAGACTCAACACTCTAAGTATGAAACTCCTTCCTGAACTACATTTAAAAGAAACTCCTTCTGCTCAAGGCCTGATATATTTTGGGATCTGTCTGGCAGGAAAAAAWTTTGAAACAACAGTTACGAGTAGTTCCTAGCGTGGATCCTTTTCCACATTACTTTCCTTGTTTTACTCCCCTTTATAAATAGGATGAAGTAGATTRCAAGAAGTCCTTCTGTGAAGAATAAGCATCCCCATGGGAGGGCAGTGAGTAGTACTACTGCTGTTTAATTTCCTCTCCCATCTTACCTCCTCACAGGCTGTCCCTTAATACCTCTGCAGGGCTTCCATCTCTTCCACAAAACCCTCCAATCTCCTTAAGGAGAGGGGGTTTTTCAGAACACATAGTTGCAGACAGTGGAGAGGTTAAGGGCCACACATGAATACAGCAGCAAAAACATCAACTTTTTTCSTAAATTTCAACAGCTGTTTAAGACCTTTTGAATGCAATCCATAATGCCTTTACAGCTTTGTCTGTCAATCAACGCCTACACCATCAACCACTTATTTTCAGAATGATGTAATACGACAAACACAAGAATCTGAGGCAGGAGATTTGTGAAYTGTACTTGGGCTATGTGCACTGCAGATATATTACAGATGATCAGTTTTGTCCTCCCTTCCCTCAGTTTGGTGCTTTCTGCCTTCGTTCAGAAAATAAATGAATATCCTGTATCACTTATTTGATGAGAGTATTTATTGTATAATTAAATGACAAGCTCTAGGAATTTACCTTGAATTCCAAGATATGCAGATATCATTCTGCACAAAGACAGCTATCATTCAAGACACTTCACTGGGTCAAAGAACACATCAGCCCATTTTTAAGTGAACTAATTGCTCAGGTCAAGTGACAGCTGAATACTGCAGATCACTACTCAAATTATAGGACACTTTGCAAAGAAGCAGGTGGTGCTTTTCAGAGCAAGRGGTCTAAGGTTTTGCTGTCTTTCCCATTCTAAATACAACCATGTTGCAGAGCTGAATTATTTCTCTAGCTGAGCAGGACAGGTGTAACATGGTGATTTGCACGTCTTAYCAAAGAGATGTGGCAAGATCCACGTTCCACCTTGAGCCACAGAAAGAAGGTCAAGCAGAGGCTCTGTGCAACAGAACTGGCCATGAAACACCTTCCTCTCCCGCTCTTCCTTATGGAACTGAGCCCAAAGCACAGGCTGAGATTACTCTTTCTGCTAAGATAAGCCTAAGCCAGATTCAAGCCTCCAGGCAAGAGAGCTTTGAGCTTTTTGCAGCTCTAGAATGAGCTGTGTATAATGTGTTCTTAACTCTGGACCTATCTGACTAATCCATTTCCCATTAGCACTTAAAACAGTGAGGTAGTTTGCAAGAAGATGAGGTGGACACCATTCCCACTGGAGCTCATTTTCAAACTCAAGGGCCACATACTGTATATATGTGTGGATGTGGCACTTGGGGCCATGAGTCAGTGGTGTCCTTAGGAATGCTGGGGGAATGGCTGGTCTCAATGATCTTAGAGGCTTAGTGGTATTTTCCARCCTTAATGATTCTACGATTGYCATCCCTTTTAAAGAGAGAYRGTCCATTCYCCAAAACTGTTTTCAGTGCTATACCCCCTGCAGCAATAACAATAAAATCATTCTGCTTGGTTTCTATCAAGATGTCAAGAAATGGAAATATATTCCTGCTGAATTGGAACCAAGGCAGTCTGCAATTCAAAGAAACAATCCCCACATTTGAAACAATAATTAAAACAAAAAAAAAATTTTGAAAACCCTCACCAACAAAACCAACCAACCAAAGAAAAAAAAAATCAACAAAAAACCCAAGACTAGGAATAATGTAAGATTTACTGGAAGGATAACTTCTTTCTCCTCATGTGCAATGGGTGGCAGATGCAGAAATGTATGATGTTAGTTGTTCTGCCAACAGTTTGTGCTCAGGTTTACCAAAGGATTTCCACAGCAACAGTAGGACCAGTCTCTATGGCAGCTACAGAAGTACAGAACACTTGTATCCCTCACAAAGTAAAAGAAGAGTTTGATGTCAAAGCATCAGATCTGTAACACCCAGTAAGGGCTTCCCATCTCCCCTTCTAGGCAGAATGACTACATGGTTTATAGGAAATTCTGCCACTTCTCTGGATCTTGTTCAATTGACAGGTTAAAATGGGTATTGAAGAGAATAAAATCTAATCCAGGAAGAATTTCAAGCTGTACCTTGTGGATCCAAGTACAGATGTGTGTTTGTTAAAAYAGTGACAAGACTATCTACTCTTTACACAATATTTGAGTGATAAAAACTCTTGCCTGGAATATAAGCAGTCATAACTGGGCTCAGACAAATTTACAAACACAGTTGCCTGAACAGCAGCTGATAGATAGCTATGGAGTGGACCCCTCTGTTGCATTCATTATCTTGCAGCAGAAGATGCAAGACCTCACAAGAATAAGTGTCATCTCAGATGAGGAGGATGAGAAGGGAAAGAGCAGAAAGCAAGCCTAARTTTAATCCCAGCTCCTGAAGTTGCAGAGGCACACTGTTTTGCAACACACAGGTAATCAGGAAGATCAAACTCAAGGCAAATTCTCTTTGYCACCCTGAGCGAGTAATACCTCTTACCTGTTGCACTGTATCTCAAACTTCCTCAAATCAATTTATCTTAGATTGGACTCTTTAAAGGACAAAGACTTCAGTATRGCATAGGACTGCCTAATTGGTAAATCTCAAGTTACCTGCAGAATAGYTGAGGTCACTTGGCTTGYTCAGCCTGGAGGAGTYTGAGGATCTCCCCACAGTCTGCAGTTCTCCCCAAAGGGCAGTGGAGCAGCAGCTCTGCTCTCTGTGACCAAGGGAATGGCTGGAACTGTGTCAGGGTAGATTTATGTTAGTTATCAGGAAAAGGTTCTTCCCCCAGAGGGTGGTCGGGGCACTGAACAGTCTCCCAAGGGCAGTGGTCACAGCCCCAAGGCTGCCAGAGCTCAAGGATTATTTGGACAATGCTCTCAGGCACAGGGTGCGTTTGTTGGGGAGAACTGTAAGGGCCAGAGTTAAGAATTGATGGTCCTATGTGTCCCTTCAACTTAGGATACTCTCATTCTTCAGAAAGTGCTGATCAAATTCTCAATTTAGGCACAGCAGCAACTCATCTATGAAGCAGAAGAAATGTGTCTGAGTATACGAACATGAAAACTGTGGTGTCTAATCAGCACAAGAAAAACAGCTTTAACAATTGTTGCAGTGGATGTGTAAATTTAAATTCTTCCTCAAAAGAAACATGCCTAAATTCTTTTGTAAAATTAGACCTTACAGGCAAATGGGTGAGAAATTAATTAGTTTGTGGAATCAGGAGAGTTTTTAAAGAGGTTGTTATGACAAGGCTACTCAAGCTAACATGTTAGATATACCTGAACAGTATCTCCTTAGTCCAGCAGCCAAAAATTCCTCCCTTCCTTAATAAATTGAACTGGCAGAATGTTCTATACCAAATCCATAYCATGCTAAATGTAGCAGTAGCAAAGTGTTAATCTCTCTCATCTACAAAATAACTTCTCAGTTAACAGAGTACATAAAGGCTGCCCCAYAGGGCAGTAAAGCAGGAATTATCCCATTYATTGTGCAAGTGTTCAAACTAATATATTAGAACAAAAAGCACTTGCAACTGGGTTCCTTGAACAACATGCAGTGAAATGGACCTTAASACTTCATAACCAGGTTTTAAGCTAGAGAAATTTGGGGGCAGAGTTCAGAAACTGTCCATTGTTACCAGTAAGTGTGAACAGGATAGCTTCAGCTTCAGTCAGGAAAAAGTACAGAGAGAACAAACCAAAACTGAGAATGGAGGAATGAAGTCAATGGTATGGGTTATCTGCTTATCAAATATTACCTAGAGCATCTAGATAGAAGTAAATATGCATGAAGGACTTTGGAGATCAGTGATTCAAGAGTTCATTGCCTGGGCTCCTTCCACAGTCACTGGAGAAGGAAAATGAGAAGCGGGTGGTAATCCCCTATCGAGAGCCAGTTATGATCAGTGGGTAAGTCATCTTCCCTGGATGCCTCTTCTTGATCACAGGGGCAACCTAAGC